GTGAGTCGTGCACGTCGCTCAGTTCTAAGTACCTAAAATTATTGANCGTTTGAATTCTAGGAATAAAATTTTTAAGAATTAACCCTGAAAAAAACTACTTGTTAAAAACTTGTTAAAAAACCACACAAACTTCTACTTTTCTAACAAGTAGAAGTTTGTGTGGTATCTAAGTAGTAATTAGAAAATGGATAGTATCGTATTTTCAAAATTTTTTTTTTTTTTTTTTTTTTTTGCGCCCGTAATGCCGAATGCGAGTTTTGGCAAGGAAAGTCAAAACTAAAAGATTGGTATACCTATAAATTAAGTCATCAAACAAAAAATGAAGCATAATCATAACAGAAATTTACTGATAAGTATGTCGGATGCTTGATTTCTGATTCTTTTAGAGCTTCATCTGATCCCAAATCATATTGTCTCTCCTTAAGCATCTCGCTTTCATCACTCACTTCCATCATTTCAAACACCTGTTTCTATAAAAAAAAAAAAAATTCTGTATCATGAACAAGTCTTCTTTCACTTCCATCGAAAGCGAATAGTAAAACGAACTTTTAACGGAAAATATCTTCTTCTTTCACATCATTTCGATTTTTTAGAAAGAGAACTTTTACTTACATGTTCCCCTTTGTCAACATCCATATTATTTGTCAGTGCTTGAGGAACTATATTCACAATGCATTCCTTGGATTCATTTGTGCTTCCTGATTTGCTCTCAATTACATGTTCGTTATCTTCTTTAAGAAGAGCTTCCCTGATAAATAAATTAAAATCTGCATCTAGTTTGCTGAATTATTTCGCTCACTACTAGTTGAAAGTGAAAACAATTACCCTATAGAAGCTCTTACTGACTGCTTAATTCTTATTTTACTAGGTTTAAGATTTAATTAGTTAATATATTACATTTGCTGAGCTTCGGCTGCCGTTAGTGGTCCAAAATCATCGTTAAACAGGGTGTCAATTTCGGGAATTGGTATATCTTCTCGCAACGTAATTGCACTATAATCCAACACAATCTTCAGATGTTCATTTTCCTTTAAAATACAAAGTCATTTGAAAGTGAAAATATAGAACTGGAATCTATGCAAATCTGTTCGGGATCAAGTAAGGCTAATGAGATGACATTATCAAAGTAAGGCTAATGGGATGACATTACCAATGCTTTTTAGTACAGTACCAAAAAGGTTACTAAAACTGAAAAGCAGTGTCTTCCCAATACATTGGAGTGGTAATTATAACGTAGAGACAACTTAAGTTCTCAACAGTAGTAATCAGAAAGGAAATTACAGAAGTGAAAGAAATCCTTACAATAGTTTCAAACGAAGAATCTAGAATAAATAAATCGCTTCGTTTCGCTGCGCGCTTTTTCCGATCCTTCTTACCTTTCATGACAGATCTGCAATAGCTCAAAGATTAAATTATGCTTTGTATACAATAATAAGTTTAGCAATATCATCACAACTTCATGCAGAAACTAAGGCAGTATATAAAAAAATAAAAAAAAAAGAAAACAAAAAGAAAAGGACTGAAGACAAGGATCTGGTCAGAAATAAGAGAAGTAAGATGAAAAACTTGGATGAAGGGAAAAAAAATACTCGTTCTCCTTTTCATCCTGATAACGGCGTAGAAGCGGAATAAATGCCTCCATGTCTCCTGAATCATAAATATTTCAAAACCTCTGATATTCTTTGGACATGCTTATAATTTCTTTAAACTAAAAAAAAAAAGAGATACTTCCCGAAAACTGAATTGCATAAACTTACTGCATAGAATGTCACCTCGTTTTTGCACAATTAGCGCAATGCCATAGGCAAGTTGTGCAAGCAAATAAAGAGAAAACTTGATTTCACCTGAATTACCATTTGGTATTGTCCTGTGTAGAAGTTCGCTGAAAAAAATTAATCTCCCAAATTAGTCTATGCTTCTCTATAAAATCAATAAAAACTCCTGAAATCGTTAGGTTATTCAAATTCTTCGACATATATATCTTGTCCTGTTCACTTCAACTATAAGATAGTCAAGGATGATATAGTCATGTAAGAAAACTTTCGTATATCATAGATTGGAAACTAGATATAAAATATTGATTGAATTTGAACAAGAGAAAAAAATATTACTATTGTAGTACAGATAACAGACAAAAGATCATAATGGATGATCATAAACTAACCAAGCTCGTTGCACATTTATTTCCAAAATAACCTTTCGCGGTGGTCGCCATTTTTCATCAAATACAATTCGCCTGAAAAACATACGAAATAATTAATTTTAAAAATATCTTTCAAGGAAAATAAAGAATTCATAAAATTTCATAAATTCATATCTTCAGCTGATATTATTAAAAAGAACATATTCAGGCACTCTTTGAAGGAGAAATTAATGAAAAATGATTATGAAGAACTTATATTGATTATACTTAATGACACAGTTACAGTAAGATTTCAACTGTTATCATTTGTTTTCATTGTCTTTTCATTATCTTTTTCATTATTTTATTTTTCTCAACTGTTATCATTTATTTTCATTATCTTTTTTGTCAATCGATAACTGTCCTTATTCTGAAATTAAACCGGTCAGATACTGTTGTGGTTGAATACTCCAAATTAGTTCCAGTTATAACTAGAAATCTTAAACCTTATAACTAAAATTAACCTCTAATGCTATTACATGGAAATCACAAATTTGATCATTTTAGTCATACTTTACACTTTATAATATAATTCTTAAAATGACCAACCAAATAACAGCCAATGATTCATTTCTTTTCATCAGTATGGAAGGTATGAAGAACATTTTTATTGCTATCCCGAGATATACCGATGATTTATCCCAATGAATTCGCTCGCAGATTGCCAATAATAATTACACCGAAAAAAAAAAAACCTCGAAGCCAATGATACTTTCTGAAGCTCTATGATACAAGAGGGAACAGCATAACGAATAATTTATGACGAGATAAGCATTTCGAATGCTTTCATATCCATCCTATCATACAATTATGATGTTATCGTAATAGGTAGAAACAGAAATGATATGAGCGTGCAATTAAAATTTATTAAGCAATTATTTTGGATTACGGTAGCATTTGGAGAATAGGGAGAAATGAATGAAGGTAAAGATAGGAACAGAATTCGAATAAAACTTTGAAATTAATCTGTATACAATAGGAATCGAAATTAAACAAAAGTATAGGATGGCTTGAAATTAGCTGAGAAAGACATTTCAATTCGCACAGATAAGATATAGCTCAAAAACGTTTAGCTTCACGGAGATGTAGTTCCAGATGTTTCATTTCACGCTAATGAGACTTAGTTCGAAATATTTAGCTTCACGGAGATCAGATGTAGTTCAGACGTTCCAATTCACGGTGATGAGGTGTAATTCTAAACACTTCCCTTCATACTGATGAGATATGGTTTGAGAAGTTTAGCTTCACGGAGATGAGGTAAAGTGCCGGATGTTTCATTTCACAGTGGTAAGGTATGGTTCGAGATGTTTCACTTCACGGAGACGAGGCATAGCTCAAGACGCTTACGTTCACGCTGATGAGATGCAGCTCGAGATGTTTCACTTCACGCAGATGAGATGTAGTTTCAGATCAGGTATGGTTCGAGAAGTTTCATTTCACGCAGACGAGTTATAGCTCGAGATGCTTTCGTTCACGCTGATGAGATACAGTTCGAGACGTTTTATTTCATGCAGATGAGAAAGATAATTCGAATGTATTCCACCAGGTTTATAGTGCAGATTGTGGCTAGTCATAATAATTAGCATTATATCACTAATTAAACTCATTACAATTCGTAATTATTAATTTCTTTGTAAAACTTGTAGAAAAAAATTATATTTCTTTTAAATTATTGTTCAATTTCCATACAACATATAGTTTTCAAAGGTTCTAAAATGAAAAGAAAAAAAGAACTCATTTTGAAATAGTGATTAATTACAGTGGATTTAAGAACTTAAATAAATTCAATTTAATCTAATCAATGGAAATTAAAATATAAGAATGGAATGGAAGAGAGAGAGAGAGAGAGAAATGATCTCACTTACTCTCTCTCGACAGTTCCATAACCAAAAAAAAAAAAAAAAAAAAACATGTAAGAGTCATAAAAGAGTGCATGATATTGATTGCATGCCCATCTCATCATTCTGCTATATCTTTTCTAGAACTATCCTACCGTTAAGATATATTTTATCTTTTCCGTTGGAGAAATATTCCAAAATGATCGAGAATTCCCAAAGAATTGCTTGTAATTCATTCCAGGATAATTAGTCATTTGTGTTACAGCAGTAAGTGGAAATGAAGCTACAGTAACTTACAGTAATAAGTAAATGGAAGCAAAGCAAAAGACTACATAAATATTAAAGTCAACAAAAATTTTGTATGATGTATGGAGCCATCAAGTCACTTCCAAATAATGCTATTTGAAATCATTCGTCGTATTGTATATTAAAAATGCACATTATGCAATCATTCTTCAATTACCATATTGGCCTAGTTAATTAGTAAAATGAATTGTCCTGATAACCTGGTCCTTAATCATTCAGGCTCGTTTTTCTTTTTGATCAATTACTTTATCCAATGACTGTGTACAATCATCCAATTACCATATTAGCCTGGTTAATAGGTGAAACGAATTGTCCTGATAATCTGGTCCTTAATCATTCAGGCTGGTTTTTTTCTTGATCAATTAGTTTATCCAGTGATTGTATTTACTGTAGAAGGTCGGCGAAATTAAAGGTAAGTTGAGTTGGAAAATAGCTCTGGGATTTTTTTTTCGGATAAATGCGTCAATTATACATCTAATTTGGATGATATACGTTTTGACGGTTTAACAGTAAGTTATGGAGTAAAAACCGGTTCACGGACGCCTAAAATGGTACTGTGATATGATTATTAAGCAATAGCAACATATCACAGCTCAGTTTAGGTGATCGGAAATCCGGTATTTGGAGAGGAATCAACCGGAAGATAAATGAACAATTAGCATCATTGATGATGAGAAATGATGGAAGGAATGGAAGGGGATGGATGTGTAAAAGAGACAAACTACTGCCTCTTCCATCAGCTCATCATCATCAAATACAAACACAATTACCGCCCATTCGATATGATTTCCTTCTTATCCTTTTGTATGATTATGATTAGCAATTTATCTGTCTGGGCGGATTAATTGTCGTCATTGAACGTGCAAATCTTAAAAATAGAATTTTTTCCATCTACCGTAAATGCAATGGTTAGCACGTATTCGAATGAAATGAACGTATACCTTCTAGAAGAAAGAAAGGGAAAGAGAGAGAGAGAGCGAGGAAGAGAAAGAAATAATGGCGGGCGCAAGTGCTACTCTATTTCAAAAAAATCTGCGCTAATCTTCTTCCACCCCTCCTACCCCTCTCATGAACAAAGGAAAATTTCCTAGAGGTATACGGTAATAACATCAATATCTAAAATGGATGAATGGATGTAAAAATATTTCATCGAAAGGCAAACAATGATATGAATATTCGGATGACGGTAGCTAAACTATGATATTCTAATAGAAAGATTGTCATAATTTGTAATAAAGCAAAATATTTTGAGAAAATAACATTCTCCGTAATGGTGCTAAAGATTTAAATGAATTCGTCCAGATGGATTTAATAAAATTCATTCCTTCCGGAATATTTTTACTGCTATTGGTATTTGCCGTGCTTTCCGGATCAGGCAAATTTAATTTGAGAATGTTTGTGGTAGGATTCACATGATAGTAGTTCCCAAGAAGTATTTCCGAAATCGTTCAAAAAGTTGCCGACAAGAATTCAGCAATAGCTGGGATGAGAAGTTTCACATTAACTCAGTAGAAGTAGTATACAGACAAGGGAAATTTGATAGTTTATTCCAGGAATTGTTCGGGTTCTATGTAGGATGGGCCTTGACTTAACCCTTAACCTTTGGCAAATGATAAATTCAAGTTACTTTTGGCCGTAACACTTCCAGTGATTTTCCCAAACATTAATAGTTTAAAAAAAAAAAATACTTTAGAAGAAATCGTGTACTTGATAGAAACTTTTGTTGTGAAATAGAATATATCTAAACCTGAAACTAGTCAATTTTGATTTAAATAAATCCTACACACAACAGGATGACATCATTGGAGAACCAGCTGAACAATCTACGAACGGCAGTTAGTGGACAACTTGGTATAGAGCGACCGCATGTGTCACTGCTATTTGATAAGAAAGACGCAAGCTCATTATATGTGGAAAATGCAGTGCAAATCGGTTAGATGTTTTTCGCACATTTTTTTTCGAAAATTCTAGTTTAGAGTAGCTATAAACTATATAGCACACCTCTCAAGTTATACCTCAAAATAAGGAATAAAACGAAATTTTCAAGTCAACTGCTTAAAAATCTCGTTTATTTTTATTTCACTGTTCAAAATCCACTTTTAAATCAAGAATTGTTCCATCTAGGTGATCTCACTATCCTAATATTTCCCGCAGCTAATATTATCACCACTAGGTTAAACATTTGATATGAATTGGTTAGTGTTAAGCGACAATCTTTTCAATCCCTGAAGCTTCACAGGTTACACTCTGTCAATCCAACCACTAAAACCAGATGGGGTGCTAGTCCAGTCAAATTTCAGTAAAAAAAAAATAAAAAAATTTCAGCTAAAAATCCAATTTTTTTAAGATGCAATCTTTTTCTGACTATGAGCAATTACAGGGCGTACCGGGCTAGCAGAACTACGGAAAATTGATCCGAAAATTGCTGTCGAAGAAGAGGACCTATTTGATGATGCAGCGATTAACGTGCAACGTGCACTTCTGACGAAGGAAGAAAATATGGTACTTAATCAGAAACTTGAACGGGTGATCATACAGCTTTCTGCTTACTTGCATCATCTCTCAGCTAAACAGATCCTGGAATGGTTGATATTTCAGTTTCATGTAAGCCTTAGATACTAATGTTATTTATCTTTGACGCATTATTTCTTAAGTTCTCCAACTTTATCTTCAGTCAAAAATTTTCAGAAAACTTTTCTAACAGTTATTAGTTTTCATCATTTAAAGAACAACAAGATCATCTGGGCAGAATAAAGCCACTTACTTGGGCAGAAATTTTCAGAAAACTTTATTAACAATTACTAGTTTTCATCATTTAAAGAACAACAAGATCATCTGGGCAGAATAAAGCCACTTATTTGGACAGAAATGATAGGCATCGTATATCGCTGAATAATTTTTGAAAAAATGAAAGTATCTAATTGATAGAAGTGATGATGCGCATATAATGAAGATTAAAATAAAAACTGCTTGCAAAACAGTTGACGTCTTTAAAAGATGTAAAATGATAGAGTGAAATTTGTTCCAAAAAATATTAGACAATGGAGATTCCTTGGGAGAAAGATATAGGTTCGGTTTCTTGTCACTGAAATTCTTAATATTTAGTAATGCTTGTACGGAGACAATCCTATAAACGTAAACAAAAGTTTCATGTAGTAATATTATCTAGGATGATTCAGCAAAGCGAAAATTTTACAATTTACTTTCTTTTATTTTCCCGTACTTTATTTTAAAAAATTCATTTCAAATTTAGGTACAAAGTTTCAATGCCGAAACATTATTTATTGCTTTCTTACCATATCACAATTCGAATATATTTGGACGTTTACTCTCAATACTCGAATTAAAAGGATTGGAATATGATTGGGTCAAAGGATATGCTAACTCAGAAGCGCCTATCCCAATGACAAAATTGGTTGTTATTTGTACTTCGAGAAATCACTCATTGCTCACTCTTATATACAATCATATTGAACGTGTCAGAGAGGTTAGTTTTTAATTTTTTGTCATAATTATTATGGCAGTTCAGCCACCACTAGTTTTTTTGTGCAGTTAGTTTGGTCAGTGATCCGATTGGGATTTTATGGGTTTTGAATAGTTCCGACACGGATAAAAACGACATAAATCAAAAGAAATTATTTGGAAAACGTATATTACAGAGATCTGTTCCAATTTTACATGAGACAGGAGGGATATGGGTCTAAATAGGTGGTTGTGGTTGAATAATCCCTTTAATTTGCTTCTGTTGGTCATCCTGGAATGTATTTGTCACAGTGTTGAAATATCAGAAGTTTTCATCGGAAGTTTTCGACGGTAGTATTTGATTTCCAAAATGGAACTCTTTACAGCCAGACTAAGAGTTTTAATTTAATGAAAAATTTTCGGTGTTCCATAAAGATTTATTGTGAGGGAATGTAGTACTGTTTAGTAAATGATCCATTTTATTTGCATTTTTTTTTTCAGTTATTTAGTGCAAAATTTGTCGAGACTAAATTGCCACATTTATTCACCTTTTTTGCTTCAATTTCTGTGCATCTTTTGGCAAAATCCGATGTAACGGACGCTTTAGTTTCGAAGATGTTGCCTTTCCTGGCCAGAGGCTTAATGTAAGTTCATATTTTGCTTTCTTTATGCTGACAAAGCTTGACAACAAATGAATCGCTGCTTTAAAATATGTGTGATTGAAATTATATCTGTTTTTATGTTATCGTATGGGATTGAACAATATCCTGATTGTATTCAGTAGCCTTCTGGCTTACATTATATTTCTGAATAAATGAACTATTTTTAGATCAGATTTAGTTTCTCTGCGGTTGGCATGTCTTACTGTAATAAGTCAGCTTTGCATAAATGCAAAGTTAGTCTCCAGCAAGCTCGATCCAATGATTAAGCTTATTTTGATGAAAATAGATGATTATACGATGAAGGAATCAATTGACACTTTGGTAGTCGTTTGCCAACGTCAGGAAATAACCAGTTTCCCACTGAAGTAAATTCTTTTTATTTTTCAATATTTCCGTGACGTTATAGTTGAGATTGTTTAAATTTTAGCGCAACATTTTGAAAGTTAATTCGATGTGCTTGCATGTCAAACAGAGCTCCTTTTTATCTCACAGACTACTCATTAGCCCCTTTCATTATCTTTTTAATGTGACACAGTTTTTCTTTTTTCCCACAAATGCTAGTGGTTTTTACGATATTTAGTGATGGATGTTCAGATTTTAATTGAATTTACTAAACCTGTGATTCAAGCAACTAAGTAAGAATTCGATATTTTCCTATATATATATGTATATATATATGTATATATTTTTCGATTTTCAGGTTGAAGACCGCTTTAAAAGTTGCTAGAAAGAATGAACACCTACAGATTTCGAAATACATCAATTCTTTATTTTCTATAACGGATATGCGAAAATTTATTGGAGCATTTGTACATACATTTATTCCATTACTGTCAAAATGCGGTAATTTTTTTACTAGTGCTTAGTCATTTCTTGCGTTTTATAGCGTCTTATTGATCTTGAACAACTATTCAAGCTTGTAGTTGCGCATATACGCATTTTTCAGGTCTTAGCTACTTGAGCAAAAGATAAAGGGATGTTCCTTTAGATATTTAGAAAATAATGTAAAATTTTTGGAAATTCCATTGTTTACTGTTCACAGATAATGATGAAAAATTGATGGAATTATGCAATTTCTGCATCAATTGCTTGGATTTGACCGTATTGAATGATCGTATATCCGAAATAATCTTGAGCTTGGTGTTTGATTTAATATCAGAAATGAATGGTTCTGGAAAAATTGCAGATATTTTTTACAAACATATGCGCGCTTTGGTGTTTAGGTCTGTCTTTTTTTCTTCGTTTTTTTTTTTTTCAAGATTTGGACGAGATATGCGCATTTGTTTGTAAGTACTTGGTGTTACAGTTCATGGATCCAACTTTCACTTTTCCCTCATCTTTTCGTTTTCTTCTTTGTTGATATTAATTAAATATATATATATATATATCAACGAAGCATTATCGTTTAATGAAAAATAGTGGAGTTTTGGAGACAGTCTCTGAAGCTCAGCGAAACAATGGTTTAAACAAAATGACTTGATAACGCAGTGAATTTAATTATATTATGTAAATCGCCAGCATAACTTAATCGTCATGTAGAGAACTCATTGTATGGTGTTACGATGTCGTCAAAGAATATGTTACTCTGGACTAGATTACCAGTATTTTTTAAACTGCCAACTTTCAGAACACATAAATATTCTGATATTGATTCGAGGATTTTTAGTTCAATACTGATTTGTAGTATAGGTATGTACAGTGTGGATGTAGTGTAGTGAATACCATTCTAGATTTCCGAATGCGTTTGCAATAGTTAGCTCAGAATGGAAAGTACGCGACGAGGGTGTTTACAATATGTTTCTGAAAGCCTGTAAATTTGAACAGTACGAGGTACCGTTTGTTTCATCCAGCCCTTATGTTTTTGATTTCTGTTCATCACTTTGAAACGTTGTAACACTGTTATTTATATGTTGTTTAAATACATGTTATTTAGATTGAAACTTTTGAAGTGGTTACAGTGGAGAAAAGAAAACGACGTCGACGTCAGAGTAGTACTAAAAACAGTGGAGGTGAAGAGGGGAGTCAACCTTCACCTCATGTTACCAAGCCTACATTAAAAAGAAAGCGACCAGAAGAAATTAAGGTAATAACTTCGACAATTATGCTCACTTTAGGTGAGTGGTGATAATCATTTATCATGAGCTAAGCGCTTAATTCACGATTTTCTGAGTGATTGCTAAAAGATTATTTCAAGATAAGGATTTTCAGCAAGAGCAATTGAATTCGGTCCGTGAACCACCCAAAATCACATTCAAAGGTGATCCATTAGAGAAGCTGATTGATACAATTAAAGCTGAAGACTGGTCACTTGCAGAAGCAGGTCTAGAAGTAGGTCTTTTGTTTCTCTTTCACATTTCATGTCAGTTCTAAAATTTCCTGAAGGAAGATAGTATCATTCTAAAAGTTCAATATGTTTGCATATAGGAATAACTTGAAAGGATTTTCTGATAATAAACTCAGGAAATTGAAAGAAAGCTGTATTCTCAATCAGTAAATCATGAAATCTGTGTCCCTCAGTATCCGAATTGTCACATCACTAACAAATCGTTTACTGTTTTGTCTAACTTTTATCTCCTTCATTTGATCCTTAATGATTCGTCATAGCATGTCAGACTATTCGCTGTCAGACCCTATTGCGTGTAAAAGACTTGATGCATGATCCTGTTCTCTGTATGTAGGGCATTTAGATGCTACTACAAACTACAACGCAGCACAGCAATAAAAATGGTAGCCTTTTGTCATTTTTCTTCAACTCGAATTTTTATTTCAGAAATTAATTACGCCTTGTTATTTGAAAAATCGGGTAGCATCTGAATTTGAAATGTTTTTCTCAAAAATGGTAGCTATTGCACTGGCCGAAGGAGCGCGTTTGAAAACTGCAATAAGAAATGCTTTATCACAAGTAAGTTAAATTCCACTGACTCATTTACAGTCTATAATTAAGAAGTGAGTCAATTCAAGTTTGCCGAAACGAAAAATATTTCCTGAGAGTTCTCGTTAACTTCTTTAAAATTCTGACAGTTTTTCGAATGATAAAGTGTTATCGAATAATGATTTCTTTTTCTAGTAAAAAAGTAACTTCTTGTTTCTGTCAGTTTTTAATTTTTACAGTTGCCGGTAGATTCCGATTTTGCACTTTCTTTATTGAAACCTTATACTGAATCGAAAAATGCTAGACGAAGTCGTGGTATATGTCACTGGTCTTGTTTTAAAGATGAAGACACCGAAAAGTTTGAAAATAGGCGTCTGTTTGTACTGGAATTATTGCTTGTGAATCGCACTCTTCAAGCATCGGCTAAACTGTTCCATCAACTCTATGAAATTTTGAAGGAGTGAGTCAGATTCTCAAAACTTAAATTTTCTTTTGGAAATGCTTAGATCACTTGATAATCCAGCCATAAATATCGATTATCATTATCTTGGGAGGAGGAGAACAAGATTTGTGCGCATTGTAAGGTATTCATTTTATTTTAACTTCTATCGGCCGATTTTTCGCAAGAAAAAATATTGTGTCCAAGTTAGTTACATTTATAGAGTTATGCAGAAGGCTGATGATGACGACAGTCAGTATTTGGAGCAACTGGTTATCAATTTCATCGTATGCTTGGTCAAAAATCCTTGTTAGTCTATTTTCTTTCTTTTTCGTTCATGGATATTTTAAGCCACATCAAAAGAGTAACAGGCGTGTGGATAACATGATATGAAGTAGTTGATATTTTAATTTCAATATAAAGTTATGCCTTAATCGGAAGACAGGATGGTTTGAAACTACTGGTGATCTTCCCAACTGTTTTATTTTCATGTAACACTGTAATTTATTTTGTCTTTTTTTGAACTTTTTTCGTTCGTTTATTCTGTTCCACGTAATCTCTTTATTCCTGTTGTACTTTAGGTGGTTATAAAGTTTTGGCGGACGATTTACAACTAGATACAATCGTTGATATTGTTCGCCATACTCAAAATCATCGGATTCTTCGGGATTGCTTGCAGTTGCTTACGTGTGCTGTTACTGTTTCTCCAGTAAGCTTTCGAATTCCTTTACTGAAATTCTCAAAAACTGAAAATTTTGAAGGTTAACATTGGGAGTAAATTATATACTTTTTACGAATTTTTAAGCATTAAAAATTTATTGATTAATCATTCCGATTTTTTAGAAAAAGGTATTGGCACATCTGATGTCTGTTTATACGTTTATGGGTGATGGAGTGTTAAAGAAGGATAACGATTTAACATTGAGCGTAATTGAGGAGACATTGAATGTGTTATTTTCGACTGTTTTGAACGAAAAGGTTGTGCCAAAATACGCATTGAACTTAATGTTTGGGTTTTTTATTTCTTAAGGAAAGCCTTCCACCGAAAAGCTTTCATATAAGAAAAGCTTTTCAGCAAATGCTCAAGTTAGCTTGAAAATTATAAAAGTGCGTGTCCTATATTTATATTTTAAATTATTTTGAAAACTGTAGAAGTTCAATCTCTTCATTTTCAAAATTGTTTTCAGGATCAGTCGTTTCACGAACAACTGATAACAACTTCTCGGCTATTTGCAACGTCGATTACTGATATTCCAGCGCATCGACGTGATAAAATTTTACGTGCTGTAGCTCGATCTGCCGGTGCGCAATATCTTTGGGCAGTAATTGCCACTCTTTTTGAGCGGTACTGCCTAAATTGGCCCAAAAAACCAGAAGGTTTGTTACAGTAGAATATCTCTTGGTACGATAGGAAACGGTGTTCTTATATTTCTTGAATTTATGTTGGAAGAATTGTAGGATCTGAAGTGGAAAAAAAAAACCTCCTTTATATATATCTGACATTTTATTCTGGATGTTATCAGGCTTATGCTATTTAGTCCAATACTCATAAACATTAAACATACAGCTTCTGCATTAGATTGTTCAACTTTGCAGTTAATTATTGTAATGGACAGCTTTTAGGTCGGATTTCAGCTGAATTGTATGAGGAAATGTCAACCATTATGGTATCGGAATATGATGCCGTGGAACAGCTCTCGTGCACAGCAAGTATGATAAAGTATATTATCGAGTTGGGAGATGATTTTTCAGTTCATGAAAACCCAACTACAACCGTTAGCCAAAAAGCGAAGTTTTTGTCGAAAATATTCGATCGAACGAAACATTCAGTACAAAAATTGCGACACTATCGTTTTGCCATATTGGGTTGGATTGCTAGGCTTTTGGAAAGTGACGAATTCAAAACAAAGGTGACACATTTCTTGTTTGGTATTTTTTCGAGAAAAGCATCTTCTGAGTTATTTATGCAAAAGATCAAACATTTGCAAATCAGTAGAGTCTACTACTTTTCTTGTTTATCAGAATGAAGCAGTTGAAAATTTCTAATTTTCAATTTTAGTTGGTAACCGTTGGTGATAATTCATATGATAGACTGCTTGAAACTGCTAAAGTTCTTCTGTTTTGTTCCGTTGAACTTGACGATTTTGTCACTATGGAGACATCAAATGCTGAGAAACGTTATATGCAAGCAAATTCAGACCAACAGAGTGCAAACAATTGGAAATATTGGATTGCTGTGTCATCACGTGCAGATATCGTCATTGAAAAGGTTCATCCAGGCATTATGGACTCAACTTATGTGAAAAAATGAAAAAATCCGATTGTCTGCTCAGCACCATGGAATTTCAAAAATTTCCGAAAAAGGATTCTCATATCTTTGGTAGTGAAAAATCTCATTTCAGTTCCAAAATTTGCTGCCGAGCAATGTTTGCGGGCATATTGTGGTGGATGTTCTGGAGCAAACTACAACTATGCCAAAACTGAGGGATCGAGCGTTACAGTTTCTGAATGCTAAACTGCTACAAGATGGTTCATACATAAGTACAGTGAAAGTAGATCACTTGAATAGCTTGATTACAAAATTTAACTCTTGGATAAAACCGGTTGAAGAGGGATTTGATGTAAGTTTATAGAACTTAATATTGTTCTAATCAGTCATCTTGCTAATGGCTGCCACTGCATCATCATTTTCTATACCATGTTATAATGATAAGAGGTATAGGAAAGTGAAAAGTTCTTAGATCCACAGTTGTAGTACTAGTTTTATTTTAGGTTAATCTGTGCCAAAAAGCAGCCCACACACTGAAACTGGTGGCACGTAATATGATACCTTCAACAGATTTCATGTTGTTGTCTGAAACGCTAGAATTAACTGTGGATTTGGTAAGTTTCATTTTATATTACATCTTTCTCAAAGATTTTTTTATGGCATAATATTTTGCAAAGTCAGGAGATTGCTCAAAAGATTCAAAGATGCCCAATGTGAAACCTTTGAGTGCAGTAGAATTCACCTCCAAGGTGAAACGTAGTCAACTTCTTTTTTTTGGATTTTAATATATATTTTTCACTTCCAATTAGTTATATTCTGCTTTTAACGTATATTTATAGCTCACTAATCGGAACATGTACGATGAAGCAGTAACGGGTAGTCTGCTTTTATTAGCTGCTGAATTAATGCGTTTTCAACGCGTAAAAAATTCTATTTTATATTCAAATGCTCTGACGGCGATCTGTACTGAAATTCTTTCCACGGTACTTGAAACACAAGATCTAATCGGAACTAATAGTAACCAGCAGGCTAATCTGTCAAAAGATAGTGTTGATAGTGTTTTATGTGGGCGAAGACGTCGCACTCAGCACTCTATGAGTGGTCGTTATGTCAGTAAGTTAGTTATGGTTTTAGATTAAAATTTGAAAAATGATTTCAAATGTAAACCTAAAGATTGACGGAAGGAAATAAAGGAAAAATTAAACACAAGCTTTAAGTCTCATATTTTCTTTTGCTGCACCTTCTTGTTCATTTTATCGAAGAGATATTTTTCAAATTAAAGCTTACTTAAAAACTCAGCTTTCAAAATGCCATACTTTAAAATTTACAGCGAACGGTGATGCACTATTGATTTGTTCACTGGTATGTTTGCAGCGGATTTTAGAAAACTTCGCCGAATTTATTTTCAAACATCTTTCATCTATTCTTATCATCATTTCACGCTTATGTTGCATTTGTGATTATACACCGTCAGCGGTAAGTTTAAACTGTTATTCGCCTTGAAGCTGGTTGTATTCGTTTGTGAAATTCGTTCATGAACAGAGTCTTTTAGCATTCATCAGAGTTCTGTGCACTGTTGACATATACCGAAAATGTTTCTTTCTTTTTTTTTAAATTCAATATGCCAATTTGAATTGAAAGTGAAATTTAGGGAGAAATGATTGTCACTGGTTTAAAATCTCATATATAAGTCAGGAAATTATATTAGCGCAGTGTAGTGAGTACCGAAAATTTTCCTTTCTTTGAGTGGAATATATTTACAACCGAAAACAGTTTTACTTGGGTTATTTTCAGGACCCTCATATTTTTTCCAAGATTTTTATTCAGAATCATATGTAAGTTTAATAATTAAAAAAAGGAAATATAACCAAGTATCAGCGAATCTCTAAGATGACTCAGTTTTCGTTCAATCATTAACTTGTGTTTTCTCATTACAAATAAGGGACAAATATCCTGTGATACAAAATTTATGCAAATTACTGCGAAGGAACGAAACGAGAAGGAGAATAGAGGTGATTTAGAAAATGAGGGTGGGAATCAGGGCGATCAAAAATATCGGACCAAGTCTTTTATCTGCTTAAGCTCTTGCTCTATATGTGACTGTTCTGGGAGAAAGATCTTTCATATGGATTTATTTTTCAGAATTGTTCCACTCAACAGATTCAGCCAGCGAATAAATTTTCAGCTGTTCAGCAACGAATTGCCTCCATATGTCGCTCATTGTCGAAAATGGAGCTAAGGATTGTCTTAGATGCTTTTGATGAAGTGTGCAATACTTTGATAATTGAACCGGCAAGTTTCCGTTTTTATTTCATCTAACATATTGTTCATCCTGAATGTTTGTGGAATCCAACCTGGCGAATGTTGAAATGAAGACTAATATCTGCTAGTAACCCCTTCGTAACAGCGTGCATTGAAAAATTTGTTGTTCTGAATGGACTATTACCAAAATAGTTGTGGAGATTTAATTCGTATTTTCTTTTATATATATTCATTTTCTGTGCTGCTTTGTTTCCTCTAGTTTATTACTATCCCTTACCCATCATGGGAAGCTTTAACTGAAGAATTGCTATTTAAGTAAACGCTTGCCAAGCCTTTTGGCAATGTTTATAATCATTCAGCAATGTTATCATATGTAAGGTTGAAATTGGTACTGTAAAATTAAATGAAAGAACTGCTGAACATGAAGCATTCGGAAAATTATTTGTAAAAGTGTACTTTGACTTCATCCTGTGTGAATTACATTTCTAGGCAGCTGTGGGTATACTTTTCAAGCTGTTTTCGTCGCTTAATGACATTAAAAATAGAGAGATACTGCTGAAATTCGTCGATCGTGTTTGCGATGTTTATTTCCATGGCCTTGATGTGCGCCCAAATAATGCGAAATTGGGAGTAAGTTACTTGGACTTATAAAATGCTTTCAAATAGAAACTTATCCTTTTCTTAACTGCCTGGAAAGTTCCACTTTTATATGAATAGGAATTTATATTCGTAAAAAGTTTTATTTTACAGAAAAATGATGCAATCGACAATGCTGAGCTAATGATTATCGATAGCTTTTTGGAAGTTATTGATAATCTATCTGAAAATGAATTTCGGTCAGTGACCAAATCTCTTCACACGCGTTTGCAAGATGCCATATCACTTAAGGCCAAAATAGAAGTGCGATATCGTTCGATTACAATATTTAGATTTTTGAATCGGTAGGTTTCTTAAAATATTTTGGAAGAAAGGATGTTTCTTTTTTCGGATAATTTCTTTGTTTCGAACCAATCTTGGGCTTTTTTAAGACAATTTTTTTTCGTTTTTTAAATTTAATGAATTTTTCCTTTTACTTGATGATTACACTGCTACACGACATTATGATGCTATTGTTTGCACGATGTGTCTTATTAAAATTTGAAAAGAAGTTTAGCGTTATAAATTATTCTCTGCAACAAATGGTTGATAATAGTCATTTCTTTGGTGGGACTTTTCTGCATATCTTTATTCTAATTCATATTATTTATTAAATCTTGATTATGGTAGCACATGCTTTTGCTTAGTATGCTTTTAGTTTCATATATTATTGCAGCTTTTACGAGTCATACAAAAATATATCACTACCACATTTCGGCCGATTTTTCGGTTTCTTGCCGGACATTTTTTCGCGATGCAATTCTCACATATCAGGTATCTTTTTTTTTCGTTTTGCATATATCAGTATCATGAACTTTTCAAAAACTTTAGAATGCTGCTAGTCAACGTATTTGCAGATTCTCAGTCATTGATATTCTATGATGGCGAAAGTTCGACTAATACTGGGACTATTTTAGTGGATTATTTGTTAACTGTCATGATTGACTTTATAACAAACTGTGCTCGTCATCCGCCATTTTTTACTTCGTTAGTTTTTATTGGACTTTCACTTCCTTGTTCAAACTTTCTCACGGAAATGATAATGAGTTCTTGTAGCGTAAAAGCATACTTTTCTTTGAGCAAGTCAGTAGACATAGTTTTTACTTTTTTCTTCCTAATCAAATCTCATTATAAGTTTTCAGGGAACGCGCAAAAATTGTGCTGGATTTCTTAGTAGATGAATTAGAAAATAAAGACATACCGGGACATGAGCTCCGCTGTGTGCCACATCTAGCTGAATGCTTCTATAATATTATCGATTGCCAAAATGAAATTCTTATGGATATAGTCAATAAAATCATGTTGAAAACGCGTAGTCGAAGTTCAAAGGTATTGTCTTTACAGAGAAAAGAAGTGATGAGTCACAGGCATTCCGAAAATATGTTGCATTCGACCTTGAATTACTGAGTTGCCAAAATTAAACATTTGCGGGAAGATCACCTACCGTTTTGTCAATACTGTTTCCAAATTTCAATAGGAAACAACAGATCAGAATATCGCTTTGAATGTAATGAATAAAATACGGTCATTCTAGGTTCGTTACCGCACGTTATTGGTTTTGGAATGGTTATTCGAGCGTATGGGTGATGCAGTTGCACCAACATTACCATCAGTGCTGCCATTTTTAAGTGAACTTCTTGAAGGTATATCTTTTAATTTGAAAAAGGCATTGAATGGTGGGGAAGTGGAAATCCATTCCTTACCTTCTCCTTCTTGATGTGATGTTGGACAGCAGTCCTATTTTTGACATCGCTTATTTCTTCTACTGTTCTCATTGTTTATTTCATTTTCAGACGATAATAAAAAAGTTGAAATGCAGTGTGATGCAGTAATTGGTGTTTTGCGAAAGAACTTTGGTGAAGAAATCACAGAAGGATACGCTTAATTTTATAAGTTGTGTACTATTATGTCGCATTTGTTTACACTTTATTGATGAATTCGGTCTGGGAACACCATTACCGCAAACCACAGTGTTTTCGGCTTTATTGTCCGAATTACTTTTCAACTTTTTCCATTTTGAAATTTCATGCATCGCTATAAATCCAAAGAGGAAGCACCACTAATTACTCCATTCCCTTATGTTGTTATTGTCTTTGTTGTATCGCTGTTTTGTTGTTTATGTTTGTCAAGTTTTGAAGTTAGGAGATCGTTAAAGCTGCTAAAATCTTATTTGGATTCTTCTTTTTTTTTTTTAAATGTACCTCTATCGTGTTCTATTCGTTGCTGTAAAGAAAAGGTCCCCAGCATCTAAAAAACTACAGCATCTTGAAATGTAAAACTATGTAGGGTTGCAAGGTTTATCGACTACCTTGAATAATGACGTCGTTAGCCAATGAGAACACTTCATGAAAAAAAACCGTGACATTTTATTGGAAAACAAACGACCGATAACAATATGTTTTTCGAAAACGAAATATTTTCAAATGATATCGAGGCGGGCTGCAATCCCGGCAGAGACTTTTTGTCGCCCCTTAGTACAAGTCAGTCTTGCCTACCAAGCGCGGAATAGCCCGCAACGCGGGAAAAAATCTAACAAAATGGGGCGGGATTCAAATGAGGAACGTCAAATGAAGAAGGGAAATATGGTATATATACATGACCTGGGGTAATCGCCAGGTCATTAAAACAATGTGAGGATGGATATTCACTCTTCCGGAGCAGAAAGGATGTAATCAACGCTGAATCCAGGAATCTTTGGTGAAACCAACTTTAGATCCAGCCGAATGTGCTGAACGTCAGTTTCATCCAGTGACAGCTTTACAGTAATGCGTTGGAAACTTCGCACTTCTACATCTTCTGCTACTAACAAGTCCTCCATTACTTGATAATTTGATCCACTCGGAAAAACGACGACTGATTCAAAGCCATAAGTTGGCACAAATACCTGCACAAAATTCTCGTTAAAATGAAGAATTAATCATATTCTAAGAGGTGATGGAAATAGGGTGAAATGGATACTATTTAAGGTAAATAATTTAACTTGAAAAATCCACAATCCCAGAAGACTCAGGAATTCAAAAAAATAAATTTTGTGAATATCACTAATTCATCACTAACCTGAATGCCATTTTTCCGGATACCCATCACGAAACCATCATGCAATTCGGTGCGACCCTTGAAGTAAAGCAATGTATTTAGTAAAACCGATGCCCTACCAGCATACTGTGCTTGCTTATGTCTGAAAAAAAACGAAAACTCACACATCAAGTACTCAAAAAAGTAAAAAACAAAATAAACAAATATAATTTGGAAAAATAAAACACAAATAAAAAAAATGCAATAACAAATACAATTTGCCTTTTCTAAGTTTTATTTTACATGCCATTTTGCTAAAGCGCACATTTCAAGGATTACGATCCAATAACTTTCTTTGCTGTTTATTCTGCTCTAATTATGATAAATATATGCCGAATAACATCCTGATCAAACAATTCTAGAACTAATAAATCGTATTGCTAACCTGTAATTGAGATTATTTGCAATTTTGCTGACCAAGTCACCTTTCAACATTTCGGGAAAAGTAGAATCAGCATAAATTGAAGCAGAAAGCAGCCGATGAACCATTATATCTGCATATCTTCGGATTGGTGATGTAAAATGGGTATAGATTGGAGCAGCAAGCCCAAAATGAACGTACTGCTCGGTTGGTAATGATCCTAGAATAAAATACACAACATGTTAGGCTAATAAAAGTAATAAAATTCGCAGTAATACCAATTTTCAGTACTTATAGCGTCTTTAAATATGAAAAAGTGAATGATGAAACAGAGGCACTAACAGAACTTTTTACAGACATTTGATTCAAAAATTGAAAGAAACTGATTAAAACTAAATTTGGAAGGAAATACATTATTGCCAAATGTGACAATGATAAACTACGTAAACGGTAATCTAACTTGGAAAGCATCGTCATCAAAGATTTAAAAAAAAGGAACCTGATGAAAAATAGACTGCCTGAGTCATACAACGTGTGGTCAACATTCGGAAAAGTGTGTTCAGCATTACATTATTCTCATCTACGGCTTTATCCAAGCTTTCCGAAAGCGCTTTTCCACTTTCAACATTCATTTTAAAGCCTTTTGCCTTTGCCATCTAAATTCACAACTAAAAACTTTTAGATTCAAATTGTTTCAAAGATTTCAATGTCTGAACAGAAAGAAGGTAATGAATGAACACATGCAAAAATTTATTTACATCAATCACTGGTTTATAATTTTCTTCCGGAGGGATTGGGTGTCGCCGAAGTAAAGCACAATCCGGAAAATCCGATGTTATGCGTTCTGCAACTGAGATATTTGCTAGCAGCATAAATTCTTCAACCTGTGATGAAAATATAGTTAGAGAAAATATGCATGAATACAAAAAAAGGAAGAAAAAACCTTTAAATGGATTAGGGACAGGAATTACATTAAGGACAGATTTTAATAAGTATTAATAAATATATAGCGTATACACAACTGAATACGCAGCAATAAATCTGACCATGCTGTTTGTTGCTAGCATCTTTTTCTCCTGCACACTGATAGGGTCCTTCGTTTCAGAATCTATGCTAAATCTAATTTCAGAGGAGGCTAAAGTCAAAGCACCATTAGCATGTCGTTTTGCCTTTAGCTTCTTCGACAGCTCCAATAATGTTCGCAATCCCACAGTTACAGAATCTGACTGAAACAAACCTATTGAAATAAGGAATAATCAAATGCTCACTAATTTTATCGAACATTCAAGCAAATTTTAAGTGAATCACTTCTAAATTGTTTCAGTTTTAATTTACTGGTAAAATGAGCTAACAAGCTACAGGAACGAAGATGATTTACTCTATCTCCTACTCGAATATTGACATATTCTTCTGCCTCATTCATCTTGATTCGATGTTTCTATTAAGGCACTGTTTAAATATGATGTCTAGTAATACCTAGGTAACTACGGACTAAGACGTATTTATAGAGCAAATATTCGGAAATAAAATATAGAAAAGACTGACCAAAGAAGGATCATCGATTCTATTTTGAGCTTGTTCGTAAGTAAGTGCACCACTGGAACGTATAAGAGATTTATGAAACTTAGTATCAATGATATCAGCATCGGATGTCAATGTCCAAATTACTGAAAAAGCTAGACGATCGACATTTTCGCGAAGTGAACATAAATCACTTGAAAGCAGTTCTGGTAACATGTCGATACGCCTAAAATATTTTAAAGAGGTCAGAAACATGACGGAGATTTCGAAATGTACTTATCTTAGTTAGTGACATTTCATAATAGCAATTTATCCATTACTTTTATTTCTAAATGTTACCATAGAAAACTATGTAATTAGCAACAGCTTAATCAGCAAATCAAAGGCATCATTCGACCTTTTCGAATGATATAATGATTCATTAAGTAAAGTCGTCTGATAATCAAGCAAATATCGAAAATGCATTGTATGAAAGCACAGTATTAATGGTAACAGCATTTTAAGGAATATTCGTAAGAAACCCAGCAATATACTCACTTGTCACAAAGATAGACAGTTGTTCCGCGATGGGCTGCTTCTGCATCCATTGCTGTGTCTGGTCTAACAAAATGCGAAACATCCGCAATATGAACACCAACCGGAAATAATGATTATTACGTATTCTGAGATTAAAATAAAGTTGTAAAGAATCAAAAAATAATGATGGATAATAACTTCGTAGCGATCTGATGCAATTTGAATGCAATGAAAAGCATCATCAATATCGGTACAACCAGGGGGATCAACTGAACATATCGTCAATGAACGAAGATCTTTCCGGTGATTTTCATCAGGCATCTGCCAAGGAATCCTAGGTAAGCATGCGTAAACTGCATCCGAAAATGGTCCATGTGGTACGTCATGCTCTAACAACAGCACCTTCAAAATAAGTTCTATTGTTCGTTTCAAGAGCAGAAAATTAAATGAAGCGATGGATGAAAGAGTTAAAAATAAAATTAGAAACAAAAAATCAAATGTTGTCTTCAAAGCCATACTTCATTCTCCGTCTCTCGATCACCTGCCACGCCAATACTTCTTACATAATGTCCAACTGGATAGCGTGAATCTCTCGGCCAGTTATCAATTGCAACAATTATCCGCTTTCCTGTCAGATGTTCAGCCTGACGCGTTTCAATTCGTATACGAGGTATAAGTCGTTCCGCTGCAGCAAATAGTACGCGTGTTGAATCTGCAATTGAATTTTGAAAACAAAATAAGATGACAGCATCCGCTTTATATAAATGTTTATGCATTTAAGTTTTCTAATGATAATCCAACTTCGCCATAATACTATCTTCGCTAATTATCTTACCCACCCTGCAAATATAAAATCCCCTTTTATCTATAAAGTAAATTATAAGCCACTGAAATGCAAAATGCATCTGAAAAATAACAGATGAGACTTAGCAACTCAATGGTATATAGACGCTTACGAAAAAAAGAAAAAAAGAAATGTAGTGTTTTAGTGGAAAGAAGCAGTGAGTAATTTTGTAAAAATTATGGATAATTGGTCACGTCATGGAAGAGAACTCTGAACATATTAAATAATAGACCAATCATAACATACCTTTCACAGCCGGTTGCAAAATCATCCCACAATACTGACGCCAGTTTCGTTTAACAATTCCAACTACCCTAGCAGACGGAATTTTATCCTCCATTCGCGGCTTTTTCAGTTCGATTTGTTCCTCATCTTTATCATCTTCTTTGTCAACCGCATCTTTCTTTTCAATTTCTTCCACATCCCGTAGCTTAAAAGAAAAGTTTCTTAATATCATAATGTAAACCTTTAATAAAACAAATCTGCATTGTACAAGTAAATAAAGCATGAAATCTTTAAATATTTACTAGGCGCATGTTTTCAATGGAAATTGAAATCGTCGTATCGATAAAAGGAAGATTTCTCAAAAATAAAAAAACAGTTAAATGAAAAGACTGATGGCTATACTTACTCGAATAATTTTCTGTGGGCAAGTCCACTCGGATTCTGGCAACAGTTCCACAGCAACCGTATCACCATTCACAGCGCGATTCATATTGATGCGTCCCTGGATAAACCATGTAGTCCCCTCATCAACATGAACATATGCTTCCGTATAATTTTCACGAGACACCTGAAATAAAATATCTGTAAATGCATAATTCACAGCAGGTGAATCTGCAAAATTTGCTGATTTGCAGGATAAACTGTTGGTACATCTGCAGAAGAAAGAAAAAATATTTAGATATATCGTCAGAAGCTTACAGATAATGTTCGGAACTATTTCAAATATCGTTGAATGGATAATAAATTGAGTAAAACTATATGGAAAGAAAAAATCTATAGGCAGATGGATAAAAATACAAAAAGGAAAACAAAGAGGTAATTTAAAAAAAAAAAAACCTATGGGAGCAATTAATACAAACTTGAAATGTTGCTTTTTTAAACTTTCCACTTCGAATCCCATTCTGTATCACATCGTGAGCCAAATATTCTGGGAATAAAATACGTCCTCGGCCTTCGCTTTCTGCACTGTAGACAGCCAATTTGTCAAGCAAATCAGCATTATCTTCCATGCCTGAAATTCAAAAAAAAAAGTAATTTAAACTGCTGAACGTATATACTATTGTGAATCCTTTACACAGAAGACATACTAACGATGGAAGTAACAAAAATTCACTGTGTTAAAAAACTTTGATAAAAATTAATAAAAAGATGGTCATGAAAACTTAAACCTTCAATGTATTCCTGTAAAGTGAAAACATTTTCAAACTGTTTCTTCAACCGATCTTTGCTTACAGCAGTACCACATACGATAATGGGGATTATAGCAAATTGTTCCCAGTGATTTTCATAGAATTTGGCACACGTTATAAGTGATCTCGTTAACCTCAAAAATTAGTCATTAAAGAAAATAATTAATGCAGTAAAAAGAAAATCAATGCAGGAAATAAGAAATATTACCAAACAAATAGAATTTCCTGAAGTGAAATATAGTTTGTTACAAAAAAATTATGATAAATAATAGAACTATCTCAAAGTAACTCACCTATCTTCTTCGCTTTCACCCGTGACACGATTGAGATGAGTTTCATGGTGAAAATCATCCATAAATACGTAAATTTTTCTGCCCGGACTTTCGTAGCACAATGTATACATTGATTTGTAAGACGGCGGATTTGATTTTTTCACATCTTCCCAAACAGTTTGTGTTATTATGATATTTCTGAAAAAGAGAAAACCTGATCGTATTGAATAACATCAAAAAATCATGCATTTCGACAACATCCCATTATATAAAATACTGACGTGAATCTTAAATTATCGAACAAATGATGGAAACGGATTATCGCTGAAGAATCAAGAATGACTGCGTGTTTGACAGGTACCGTAGATGAAATCTGAATAGTCAAATCAGTGAGCGAGTGACCTTCAACTGGCCGACAATTTCTACATAAATCCAGTCCACAACCAATGTCATTTCTTAAGTACTGTTCATGTACTCGCTGTAAGAATAAAAAATTAATGACCAATCAGCCAGCCAATTAAAATTTTCAGTATCAAAAACGGGAGTTAGAGAGCCATCAAAATTTTAGATATTTTGAAGAAAAAGAGATGAAACCACAGAAGATCCCTGTCACAGCTTTTTAAAGATTAAACCTTACTTTCACGATTTTACCGCTTTTTGTCTTCCTGTAAAGTACATTCAGGACACGCTTACTTATCCCACTTTGCTTCACATTAAGTTCAAGCATTTGGCTGAAAAATGGAAAATACTAAACCAATTATTATTCATTCCGATTATCATTTTTTGTTTAAAAAATCCCAGAATGTAAGTGGAAGGATTTTAGTTGAAGATAGTTTTGAAAATCTTTTAGAAGTAAAAAGAGTAAGTTATGTAATCAACTAAACAATGCAGGAAAGACAAGTACATTAACTTAATTTATACACCTGACAGATCAAACAGTTCAATGAGATCACAGTATATTTACAAATGATTATGACAGTATTTCTATTGTGAAAGTAGAATATATGACACATCAACCAGTTTTATGATCTCGATCGGGTAACAATCATACGCGACTATCCTGAAAAATTCACAACTCTAAATAACTAAACTTCTACGATTTTCCTTCAGAACTCTCTGCTACCATTCTCAAACGTTCCAATCATTTGAAGCATATCACAACACTTTGGAATGCAAAAATTTTTGCATCTAAAATTTCATCATTTCACACAACTGGTAATCGACATCACCGGCAGACTATTTCCATTTCGTCCATTTTTCTTCATTTCCTCGAAAGTGTTCATCATTTTCCAAACGGAACTTCCCCTTCGTAAAATAGAATAAAACACTAAGTACAAAAAAGATTTACTGTTGCAACTGTAGGATCATCGTCACTTGTTGGTGAAGAGCCACCTCCTTGGGCACCACTTTTGATCGGTAGATATAGCTTGAATTCAGCAGGAAGTTCATCTTCCGAGTACAACCGGTCCGCAAAGTAAATTCGTCGAATCCGACAATTCGCATGGATCTAAATCTACCGAAACCACGAAAATTATGCAAAGTAAAAAAAAAGGACATTACCATCCAATAAGAATGCTGAGCACGAGTCTTCAACCCACCTTTCACAATAAATTAATCAGTTTATTGCAAATGGTGATAAGTGATTAACTTTATGAACCTGTATGCGGAGAGTCTCGACATAAGCTGTACCATATGCACGCTTGGTAAAATCAGCCAAATTAAATTGGATCTGATTCCATCCTTCATCTAATCGCATGGGCATTGTGCAAATGAATGGTTTGACTCGAGTATTGGATTGGAAATTAGATGCTCGAAAACGTCGCTTCACGCCCTTATCATCAAGTATCTGAAAAATCATACAATTGAAGATGCCATTAATTCTGATTTCACTGTTGATATGATAGATACGATCTTTTTGCGCTAAAAAGTTTACAGAAAAAACAGTATTAGTTGATATCAGCAAATAACTGATATCACAATAATAAATGGATGAAATCGATTAGTAATTGAAATCTGTTTTGTTTTCAGTTACTGAAGAGGATAGCTGTATGCCATGACGACAACGATAGAAAGGCCGCAAATATTTATTTAACTATAAACAACAGCAATTCCGTCAATGAACAGTGCTTAAGACATTGCAATTTCCTTTTCGCCGGTAACAATAACAATCAAAATTTACATCTAGGAAAGAAATTACAATGTGTCTGGAAGCAAAATGAAACCTTTTCCCTGTACACCTTTATGAATTTGAGTAAAAAGATCGAAGAGCTAACAGGTTATGATTACAATAAATGAAATGCAAACCTGTACTTCAAATGTGAAATATTTTTTCATATTTTTGACAATCATCACCAAATATGGCAATTTGATTCCTAATGTCTTCTTTGGGTCCAATGGGCATGAAATATATGTAGTGCTAAAAATTTCACTGAATTTATCCGGAAATGGCTGCCAAAGTGATGATCAATATAAGGACGTTCAAAAGTTTATAATTTACAGCTTTCCTTCATTCAGATAAAGCAAAAGCTGATAATTCTATAATTTCAAACTACTTCTAATCGTACTATCTCATATAATCCAGCAAATATCAACTGTCCCATCACTGAAGATAGAATGAAGCAATTCGGAAACTGGAAAAAAAAAACAAAATATCGTGAAATGTCAACCGTAGATATCTCACCTCACATTCGTGCCCAATATTTCGATTATTAATGATTGTATATCTTCATCATTAATCCGTTTTATATGCCCATTCCGAACCTGAAATTGATTGAAGTATGCTAAAAATTGATGCTCCTGATTATTTCAATCTAATTCACACTAAATCCTAAAAGTATCATGCCACCATAGCTCAATCTTTGACCAGCCTTAAAAAATGGTATTAATTTTGGAAAAAAAAAGTTAATTTTAGAAAAAAAAAATTAATTTTAGAAAAAAAAATTAATTTTAGAAAAAAAAATTAATTTTGGAAATTTTGATCCTTAAAACGAACCTTTTTGTCCCAAATTTGCAATGGTTTACTTCCAATACTATACAGTATAGAAAGTAATCCACTTTGGAATGTATTGTGAAACATTTGTGCTGAAAATACAAAAATTGATCGAACATTTTAAATTTAAAATTCGATTTTAATTTCATTTCTAATTTACAATTTCCCAACTAGAAAAGAGTAGAAAACGTAAAACTCTGCACAATCAATATCGGATATTTCCGGTTTGGGTGAAACGGTAAATGAAAATTCGTTAAATGGTTGGGGAGAGAGAGAGAGAGAGGGAGAGAAGAGGAGAGAGAATCTTTTTATTACAGTGTGAAATTTTACTCGACAAATATGTCATCCGATCGTTTAAAAGTATGCAACCACAATGCTACATTGTTATTTAGATTGTTTTAGATGAAGAGATTATGAGAAACGAGAGAAAAGACAATTGGTTTGCTTGACTACGTTTAACGTATGTGAAACAAAGATTGAGAGTAAGAAAATTAGGCAATGCTAGAAGAGGTACAGAGAAATATTCAGATTTTTAAGAAAGTATGAAGCAGCAAGTGAGGTTAGCAAGAGATTAGCAACTGAATTAATTAAAATGGTATGTGATGAGGGATTGAGAAAAATATTGTTAGATTACAACCCTTTAGTTGTAGAAGAGATTGAGAGTAATTGAAGACTAACAGTATGGATATAAATGCGAGAACATATAGCTTTATCGATGTGATAATTATATTCAATACTGATAAGAATACCAAATATTTCTAGTATTTATCGATTTGTTGGCATTTCTCGATGTGTATACTTAATCGTGATATTTCCATTTTCCTCATTTAGGTACAATTAGTCATCGCTGGACAGTGGTCATTGTCATTCATAACTTCAGGAATAATTTATAGTGTAATAAGAAGTGAGCATAATAATGTTCATATCGATTGTTTGATAATATTCTTGAGAATTCCTTTAATATTTTTGGATGTATACAATGTGTTATTGCCATTTTTTTCTTTTTATCTTTTCAGAATTCTTTACTGCTACAAAGGATGAGAAGTGATGAGGATGACATTGTGCCATCAACTTCGACATTGCTTTTCCCGGATTTATTGACACGCGATGAACTTGTCACTATTTTAAAGCATAAATTTAAAAGGATAGGTGTCAATACAAGCAAGATAATTAAGCTTACAAATGATGAGCTACTGGAACAGTTTAAGAAATTTGCAATGCCAAAACCTCAACGAAAGGTATCTTCCTTCCTTTGTAATTAATCCTTTTAATTTTATATTTCGTTTATTTTTCACATAATTATTTCTTATATATCGCAAGGAAAATCGAATTATCTTTATTGCTAGACAGTACTGTTAATAAGTCGAGGATATTATTGTCGTATATATTAGTTGGACTAATACTTTAAAGTCCAAATTATCAATAACGTTAAGTAGTATCGTCAAATTATATCATTTTTAAATTCGTTCATTTTTACATTTCTTTTTATGAATTCTAATCTCATGCGCATTCGTTTTGAATGCGCATCACCTGATATAGCACGATAAATTAACGAACAGGAGAAGTATCGGAAGTTTGTTAATTTATTATTTAAGTTTGTTGTTTATGCGAATTTTTGGTTTGTCGAAAAGTCTTTTGACATTATACCTTTTTCATATTTGTCTTGAGATTTTTTATTCGAAAATAATGGAATAATCAGTAATACTTCAAATTTTAACTATGCTAAAACAAATGTAGTTTCAGGCTTGTATTTCCCGTAATGGCCTTAATAATTTCGAAAATATTAAGGATTCAAATAATTCAGAGGAAGTGGAGGTTCGGTTTTCTTCTTTTTTTTTTTTTTTTTTGATATCTTTTTTCATCTGCCAAAGATTAAGTGTACTAAATATACTGACAAGTCCAGTCACAATTTTACTTCAGGTATATAATGGGAAGCAGTTGTTTAGGATGAAATTACTTATTGTTTTTACTTCGATTTATTTACATGAACTTCGTATTGTATTTTCAAAAATTGCAATTTTAAGAATTAATCTGCTTCTTTTCAATTTTAATATGCTTACGAGATCGAACCAAAACATTCCATTTTCTTCACATGCATTCATTGTTGATGTTTCAGAATTCAGGATCAGTGTGCAGTAAAGTTAATGCGATTAATGGACAACGAACTACTGTTTACAGAAAACGATGTAACACTAGCAGCACAGAGCATCATTCTGCTGTGAAAAATTCTCGAAAACATTCTCCCATACGATTTCCATAATTTAGATATGGTAAGAAAAAAGGATATTTCGATTATAAAAAGGAGGAGAACAAGAAATGCGTTACATTTTTTCACTTTTTTTTCAAGTTTCGTCTGCAAAACTGTGAAATTAAAATGCTTTCATGTTATATCATATTTGTTGCTACGTTTTAAATTGTTATTTTTGAGGAATTTGAATCCTTTGTTTGTATTCAGTAACTAATTGATAGATTCTCTGATATGATAACTATTTGAAAATGAATAGCATTGTTCATGATGCTAAACTTCATTTCATATTCACATAAAAATGATATAATTTCTAGAGAATGGGAAGTTTTTTCCCTTTTTCTCCTTTATATGCTGTTAGCCTACATCGCGAAGAGTTATGAATTATGAATGTGTAGGAAAAATTTTCAATTCCAGTATATTTTTTGCGTTTATTTCTTTCACATTTATACTTTTTTGACATAAATTGGGAATTTCTACGCAGTCAGTTTCTCAATCCAGTGTGCATAATATTAGAACCATTTCTGAATCCCAATTTTCATTTTTTCCACTCTTTACTCATAATTTCATTTTTTCTCCATTCTTTTCGATCTCGTTTTAAGTTAGTCAAACAAAACGAACAGACGATACTAAGTATGAAATATTGCTATTAAGAATTAAATAGTAATGAATATCTGGTCATTAATAGGATCAGTCAGTAGTTTTGTTATTATAAAAATTAGTTGCAAACTGTTGGACTTTCGATCTAACTTTAGTCTCTAAAATTGGCCATAAAAAGCTGTAAGATGTACTTATTTTTCATAACCGATCAGGAATATCGCATGATCCAGAAAGTTCTAAACTTCTTTATGTACACTCCTTTTTTTTAAATTGACTTTACCTGCTTTTAATTCTTCCTGTAATCTTTTTTAATTAATTAACGATCCATCCAGAAGTGTATTTTGTGGAATTATTTGTGATTTTAAATATTGAAGTGGTTTTTTGAACTCTTTAAAAAGTATAACCATGGGAATCTATCATTCTATCACTCCTATAACTTCACTATTCTTTCATTGGATAAGGTTGAGTGATAAGGAGTCATTTATTTTTAATTACAAATTATTGTTATTGTGATCTGCTGAATGTTTTTTGTATCTGCTGTGCACATTTATTTATATTATCATTTTGCATCCATATGTTTTAATTATCACACCATTAGTAATATTTTTACCTGTACTTAAGCTAATTAAAAAAAGCTGTAACTATAAACTCAGGTGCATAGTTGTGATTTTTTTTATAATGGCAAAATATAATTATAATTAGTTTATACATACATTTCAATAACAGGGATTTTGAGTCATTTTGAAATTGGCTTCATTTTAAATATTATCACATCATGTACTCAAATTTTTCAAATCTATTGTTGACTTTCGATAATTTGGCTGGAAAATTTTAATCGAAACTTAATTTCTAGAAATTTTTTTCTTTTTGGGATTTTCATTCCAAGAAATATCAATTTTGTTAAACTTAGCTAAGATAAGTTTTATTTCTGCTTATTCTAAATGCGGTAACTTAATATTAAACCAAAAATTTTAGCATATGACGTGTTAAAGCGAGTCCATAAGAGACTAAAGCAAAATATCAGATGATAATAAACAATGAGACAGATGACAAAAAAAAAAAGAAAAAATGAAAAGAAAAAAAAGCATATCCCGTAATTTATATAGTGAATTTAACGAATAAGCGAATGAACCAAACAACAATGCAAATAAGATACATAGGAAACAGAACTGCGCTAAATAATGCGTAAATGTCCTAATCATATGGCATAAAAGTGACATCATTAGCTATAGCCTTAAGGCTAAACAACAAAAAGAAAAAAAAAGCCTAGTTAAGAAAATGATAATATTAACAAAGATATTTTCAAAATTTTTTAAAATATATTTTAAATCACAAAGGCTTCAAACATTATCAAAATTCATCTAATAAACAAATATTGCAAATTGAAACTAATGAAAGATTACAATGAAATATGAAAGGGTTTTTTTTTCTTTTTTTTTTTTATAAATGAACAATAACAATTAGCAAAACAAAAAAAAAAAATTTTCTTTCTCATTATTCTTATTGTTATTGTAGGAGTAAAAAAAAATTGTTATTAAACAATAATTATTTGTTCATAAAAAGCAATCACCGTCCATAAAATGTGTATTAGCAATAGTAATTGAATCAAATTGTACACTTTTTGGTTCTTTTTTTATCCACATTTTTTTCAATGCTCGACGATATGGTCGAAGTAAGAATAAATTAATTAATGCACTTGAAAGTGGATGAATGCCAATAATTGCTTCACCAACAATAAACCAAGTCATATTAATTTCGATTGAAAACATTAAAAATAAATCTGAAAATATTATTGAATTAATTAATCGTTACAACATTTTGTTAGTTGTTAGAAAATAATTAATTATTATTAATGAATAATTATTGATAATGATAATTGTCGTAGACGTGCCAAAAATTTAAAATTATTTTGACAACTATTTAATCTTTTAGAAATTAAAAAACTATTAATCCAATCGATCTTTCATCATTGATTTACCGAACAAAAACGATCATATGTAAAATTTATTCCTATATGATATCTCAATTTGAATTGATTAATTGATTTAATCAATTTGATTAGATATAAACAATAGATTTAATTTTTGTGAGTAATTTAACTTTTTTTTTCGAAGTAGTAACTTTCTCATTTTAAA